CCCTCCCCCAAATTCTATTGCAAATCAAATGCAATATCTTTCATAGACAACTGGGAACACTTCTATGGAAGAAATGAAATGTATGCTCGTGATGGGGTGCATCTATCGAGAGCTGGGGTTGTTGCTGTTGCGAACTCGCTAGAAGAAGTGGTTAGAGGTGTTTGTTTGGGTTTAAACTGTTAGTAGATAGAGGTATGGGAATTGATTTGGAGGAAGGAGGTAATAAAAGTATGTGTTTGTGGGAGAAAGGAATTGGCAAAACGATCAGGGAAAGAGAAGGTCCGCAAAATAACAATTCACTTAGGGTATATTACACTAACAGTAGAAGTCTAAGAAATAAAATTAACGAATTAAATGCTCTTGTCTGCACAGAAAAAATAGATATTATTGCACTTACCGAAACGTGGATGAATGTAGAAAATAGAGAACTATTAGCTGAATATCAAATATATGGATTTAAACTATTTCACACAGATAGATATATTAGACGAGGAGGTGGAGTAGCCATATATGTTAGGGATAATTTGAAATGTAGTCTCAAAGAGGGAATCAAAACAGAGCCACACACAGAAACTATTTGGATTGAATTAAACGAAAAAGCTAATAATATTATAATAGGAGTAATATATAGGCCACCAAATTTAGACAGAATGGAAGCAAAGCATCTATGGGATGAAATATCTAGAGCATCTAGATCTAACAGTATTTATGTCATGGGTGACTTTAATTTTAGCGGAATAAACTGGTTGAACAAAACAGGGAATAGTGAAGCAGAAGATTTTCTAGAATTAATTGACGATTGCTTTCTTACGCAACACATTAAGGAACCAACACGGGAAAATAATATTTTAGATTTAGTGTTAACTAACAGGGAAACGCAAATTAATGACATCGAAATAGGGAGTGAGCTAGGGAGCAGTGATCACAAAGAAATCAGATTTAGCATAGAATGGAATAGACCAGTAGGAGAAAATTCTGTTAAAGTGCCAGATTTTCGAAAAGCTGATTTTAATAGCCTAAGAAATTTTTTGGGTCAAATTGATTGGAAAGGCTTGGGTATGGGGTGTGGGCCTGTCTTGGAGCGAGACATGAACCCAGCGATAGGTGACTTAAATGGGGATTTCGATGTGGATTCAATATATAACTTATTTAAGAATATTCTAAACAAAGCACAGGAACGTAGTATACCATACAAATTGAATAGATCGTATACTAATGACCCAAAGTGGATAACAAAGAATTTGAAGAACCTTATAGGTAAAAAGAGAGCTTGGTACAAAAGGATTAAAAATGGGGAGATCACTTTAGAACAGGAATTCGTACAACTGGTTAGAAATGTTAAAAAAGAGATAAGGAAAGCAAAAAGAAACTATGAAGTTCGCATAGCAGGGCAAGCAAAGACAAATCCTAAAGGGTTTTTTCAGTTATATCGTACTAAGACTAGGGAAAGGATAGGTCCATTAAAAACTGAGACAGGTCAAATAACAGATAGTGATGAAGAGATGAGTAGTATTTTTAATAAATATTTTGTATCTGTATTTACTAAAGAGGAACTTAACAATATGCCTTCAGCCGAACAAGTCTATGTGGGTGGGGACGAGGACAGGTTGACGAGTTTAGCAGTTACCAGGGAGGATGTTCTTAAACAAATAGTAAAACTCAAACCAAACAAATCCCCAGGGCCGGATGAAGTGTTTGCTAGGGTGCTTAAAGAATGCAAAGAGGAGCTTTGTGACCCACTGTCAACCATATTTAATAAATCAATAGAGTCAGGCAGAGTGCCAGAGTTTTGGAAAGTTGCTAATGTGATACCAGTTTTTAAGAAAGGAGATAGATCACTTGCGTCTAACTATCGACCAATTAGCCTAACGTCTATTGTGGGAAAGTTACTCGAATCTATAATAGCAAATAAAATTCGTCTTCATCTTGAAAAACATAAATTAATAATTGAGTCGCAACATGGTTTTATAAATGGCCGTTCATGTTTAACAAATTTGTTATCTTTTTATTCTAGCATTGTTGAGGCAGTTGATAGTGGTAAGGATTGCGATGTTGTATACCTTGACTTTAGCAAAGCTTTTGATACAGTGCCACATGAAAGACTGATTAAAAAAATAGAGTCTCATGGTATTGGGGGTGCTATATTAAGCTGGATTAGGGCATGGCTATACCAAAGGAAACAGAGAGTTAGTATAAATGGAATCAAGTCAGAGTGGGAAAATGTTGTAAGTGGAGTGCCTCAAGGCTCTGTCCTGGGACCTCTGTTGTTTATAATATATATAAATGATTTAGATTCAGGTTTGAGTAGCAACATTTGCAAATTTGCCGATGATACGAAAATCGGTAGGGAAATTAATTCGGAGGAGGACTCACTATCACTTCAAGTTGATCTAGATAGGGTTTTGAAATGGTCAAAGGATTGGCAGATGCAGTTTAATGCTGATAAATGTAAAGTTCTGAGGTTAGGTAATGATGATAGAGTTACAAGATACGAGCTAGATGGTGTTGTGATTGCGAAGTCGGATTGCGAAAGGGATCTGGGAGTTATGATTAGTAAGAATTTAAAACAAAAGGATCAATGCATAAATGTTCGTAATAAGGCAAATCGGACACTTGGATTTATTAATCGCAGCGTTAGTAACAAGACACCTGGTGTGGTTCTCAAGCTATATCTTGCTCTAGTTAGGCCTCATTTAGATTATGCAGTTCAGTTTTGGTCGCCATATTATAGAATGGATATAAATTCACTTGAACGTGTCCAGCGTAGGATGACTAAGTTAATTCCCCAAATTAGAAATCTTTCATATGAAGAAAGATTAACAAAGCTTAAGTTGCATTCACTGGAAAGGCGAAGAGTTAGGGGTGACATGATAGAGGTTTACAAGTGGATGAATGGACATAACCGGGGGGATATTAATAGGGTATTAAAAGTATCAACACAGGACAGAACACGAAACAATGGATATAAATTGGATAAGTTTAGATTTAGGAAAGACTTGGGTAAATACTGGTTCAGTAACAGGGTTGTTGATTTGTGGAACCAATTGCCGCGTAACATTGTGGAGGTGGGGTCCCTCGATTGTTTCAAGCACGGGTTGGACAAGTATATGAGTGGGATTGGGTGGTTATAGAATAGGAGCTGCCTCGTATGGGCCAATAGGCCTTCTGCAGTTACCTTTGTTCTTATGTTCTTATGTTCTTAAATAAAATTCGTCTTCATCTTGAAAAACATAAATTAATAATTGAGTCGCAACATGGTTTTATAAATGGCCGTTCATGTTTAACAAATTTGTTATCTTTTTATTCTAGCATTGTTGAGGCAGTTGATAGTGGTAAGGATTGCGATGTTGTGTACCTAGACTTTAGCAAAGCTTTTGATACAGTGCCACATGAAAGACTGATTAAAAAGATAGTCTCATGGTATTGGGGGTGCTATATTAAGCTGGATTAGGGCATGGCTATACCAAAGGAAACAGAGTTAGTATAAATGGAGTCAAGTCAGAGTGGGAAAATGTTGTAAGTGGGGTGCCTCAGGGCTCTGTCCTGGGACCTCTGTTGTTTATAATATATATAAATGATTTAGATTCAGGTTTGAGTAGCAACATTTGCAAATTTGCCGATGATACGAAAATCGGTAAGGAAATTAATTCGGAGGAGGACTCACTATCACTTCAAGTTGATCTAGATAGGGTTTTGAAATGGTCGAAGGATTGGCAGATGCAGTTTAATGCTGATAAATGTAAAGTTCTGAGGTTAGGTAATGATGATAGGGTTACAAGATACGAGCTAGATAGTGTTGAGATTGCGAAGTCGAATTGCGAAAGGGATCTGGGAGTTAAATTGGATAAGTTTAGATTTAGGAAAGACTTGGGTAAATACTGGTTCAGTAACAGGGTTGTTGATTTGTGGAACCAATTGCCGCGTAACGTGGTGGAGGTGGTGTCCCTCGATTGTTTCAAGCGCGGGTTGGACAAGTATATGAGTGGGATTGGGTGGTTATAGAATAGGAGCTGCCTCGTATGGGCCAATAGGCCTTCTGCAGTTACCTTTGTTCTTATGTTCTTATGTTCTCTCTCCTCGTCCAGTTGTTGTCGTTAAAGCTTTAGCTACTCAGGACGAAGTGTCCATGTAGCACGGGCTATGGTGAGCCCGTAATTGAGTTTGGTTATACATGATAACCTTTTTCCTGTGATATCCTCGTCCAGAGGCTCCCGAGTATATATACCCCTTCCCACACTCGACCAATCCTCGCCCCACACTCACTTAACTAATCCCCTGTCCCACACCCACCCAATCAACTAATCCCCCGCTACCATTCCCACGACCATGGGAGCTATTATTACCACTGGTACTGACATAGTCCCAGTTACTAAACAACTACAATAGACGCCACCATTATAACTATAGTTATCGCGTCCAATTTACTCCCCCCCCCCCCCACCGTACTATGACCTCATCATACCCTGCCTCCCCTGTCCCCTTGTCCCCCCTTGCTCCCTACCCCCCTACTACCCCCCTACCCCCCTACTACCCCCCTAACCCCCCTACTACCCCCCTATTATTAACACACTACTTGCAGCACGAGCTAAATGTGGATTACTAAATAATAAAAGATATAATAATGACATTTACGATGGAAAGCAAACCAATATACTTTTCTGCGCCTGTTTTGTCCACAAGGGAAGGGGGGGGGGAGACATGACTGGAAGACATGACTGTATTGGACAGTTTTCTGCGCTGATATATGGTGGCCAGGCGGTCAATAACACGGCTTTTGTCCCCGGGAGATCAGTACGTCGATGGTGGCTCTTTAGTGCCTTTGTGACCAGCCATATGTTGCTTGTCTGACCCGCGGTATTGATGTTCCGGTGGCACTCTTGTTGTTCAAGAGTTCCCAGCTACTGGGAACACAACGTTCCCAGCTACTGGGAACACAACGTTCCAAGCAGCGCGGGCTATGGTGAGCCCGTCGTACTTACCGCCGTACAGGAGATGCCGTGCTATTGAAGAGCCTCGTCGCGGTATTGAACACCCTCCTCGCGGTATTGAACACCCTCGTCGCGGTATTGAACACCCTCCTCGCGGTATTGAACACCCTCGTCGCGGTATTGAACACCCTCCTCGCGGTATTGAACACCCTCGTCGCGGTATTGAACACCCTCCTCGCGGTATTGAACACCCTCGTCGCGGTATTGAACACCCTCCTCGCGGTATTGAACATCCTCGAACCGTCCCTTCTCTCGGTCTCCCCCGCTATCTCTGCTCTCCCCCCCCCCCTCCCCCCCTCGTCACACCGGGCCGCACGCGCCTGCATTACGGACTGTGTTATTATCGTCATGGTACATGACCAGCAGGTGTCGCCTCCGTGGTGGGCGGGGAGCACTCCAGGGTGGGCGGGGAGCACTCCAGGGTGGGCGGGCAGCACTCCAGGGTGGGCGTGGAGCACTCCAGGGTGGGCGTGGAGCACTCCAGGGTGGGCGGGCAGCACTCCAGGGTGGGCGTGGAGCACTCCAGGGTGGGCGTGGAGCACTCCAGGGTGGGCGGGCAGCACTCCAGGGTGGGCGGTGAGCACTCCAGGGTGGGCGGGCAGCACTCCAGGGTGGGCGGGGAGCACTCCAGGGTGGGCGGGGAGCACTCCAGGGTGGGCGTGGAGCACTCCAGGGTGGGCGGGGAGCACTCCAGGGTGGGCGGGGAGCACTCCAGGGTGGGCGGGCAGCACTCCAGGGTGGGCGGGGAGCACTCCAGGGTGGGCGGGGAGCACTCCAGGGTGGGCGGGCAGCACTCCAGGGTGGGCGGGGAGCACTCCAGGGTGGGCGGGAATCACTCCAGGGTGGGCGGGGAGCACTCCAGGGTGGGCGGGGAGCACTCCAGGGTGGGCGGGGAGCACTCCAGGGTGGGCGGGGAGCACTCCAGGGTGGGCGGGAATCACTCCAGGGTGGGCGGGGAGCACTCCAGGGTGGGCGGGGAGCACTCCAGGGTGGGCGGGGAGCACTCCAGGGTGGGCGGGCAGCACTCCAGGGTGGGCGGGAAGCACTCCAGGGTGGGCGGGGAGCACTCCAGGGTGGGCGGGCAGCACTCCAGGGTGGGCGGGCAGCACTCCAGGGTGGGCGGTGAGCACTCCAGGGTGGGCGGGCAGCACTCCAGGGTGGGCGGGGAGCACTCCAGGGTGGGCGGGCAGCACTCCAGGGTGGGCGGGCAGCACTCCAGGATGGGCGGTGAGCACTCCAGGGTGGGCGGGCAGCACTCCAGGGTGGGCGGGCAGCACTCCAGGGTGGGTGGTGAGCACTCCAGGGTTGGCGGGCAGCTCTCTAGGTCCCTATTGCCGTCAACACAGCGCGCGGCATCACAGCTACAAGTCACGGAGCACACGTGACGAGTTTGAAAACGTACAGAACCTTACCCAACTTAGCCTACCCTAAACAAACCTAACTTAAACGAGCCTGACTTAAACCAACCTATTCCAACCCACCTTTACCTAAAGCAACGTTGCTTTGCCCTGCAAAAAAACAGCGAAACTACGACGTTGGTACAACGTTTGAACAAGTTTTAACACCTCCTAACCAGTTATAACAACCAATATAGCAAGTTGTAACAACGTTCTAATACGTCATAAATACGTTAAGCCAAGATATAACAACTTTATTACAAGTTGTAACAAGCGGAAAATAGGAACTGTTACGGTTTGTGTTTCCAGGGCTAACACAACCCAGTCTTACCTAAACCAACCTAGCCTAACCTAAATCAACCTAGCACCAACCTAAATTAACAGAGACTAACCTAACACAACCGAACTATCTCGGTTAGGTTGGTAAACAAGACCCAGCCCTATCCAACCCACCCGCGCCCGGAACTAACCTATCCTGGGCTACTCAGAGGTGACAAAGGATATGGCGTGTCAGGGCTAACTAAAATATTAACGTTGTGTAGTTATGCTTCACGGTTTAAGAGTCATATTTAAATATGGTGAGCACCTTCGGACGGTAGCAATTTGGCGCCGTTCATGCTTTTGTGGGTGTAGGTAGACACGGGGGGGGGGGAGAAGGATAGTAGATAATTTGCTGTAGATAGTAGCTTGAGGGGGGGAGGGGGCAGTGATAGTTACAGGAGTCCAAATTATCACTTCTGTATTTATTTACTGATGTTATGGGAGGTCTGTGTGTGCTAAATTATAGTGTGGAAAACCAACGTTTACTGGAACTAGGAAGAATTAAGGTTTTTTCTCAAAGTTGTTGGTAATCAATAGTATTAAAACTTTAATATATCGGGAGTATAACATTTGTTCTGGCTATGAATTATTTTAAGTAGAGAACACTTTTAAATTCTTTTAATTCAATGATTTGCTAAACAAGTTTTTTTGCAGGATTTTAAGGAAATATTATATAATATATATATATATATATATATATATATATATATATATATATATATATATATATATATATATATATATATATATATATATATATATATATATATATATAAGCCAAGTTTTCCTGAATTAATTTATTTACTATAATTTTTTTCTTATGAAATGATAAAGCTACCCTTTTCACTATGTATGAGGTCAATTTTTTTTATTGGAGTTAAAATTAACGTAGATATATGACCGAACCTAACCAACCCTACCTAACCTAACCTAACCTATATATATAGGTAAGGTTAGGTTAGGTAGCCAAAAAAAGCTAGGTTAGGTTAGGTAGGTTAGGTAGACGAAAAAACATTAATTCATGAAAACTTGGCTTATTAGGCAAATCGGGCCTTGCATAGTAGGCTGAGAAGTGAGTTCTGGCTACTAGGTACGACATATATATATATATATATATATATATATATATATATATATATATATATATATATATATATATATATATATATATATATATATATATATATATATATATATATATATATATATATACATATATATATAAATATGCTTAATCTGAGGCTAACCTTGCTGAGGCTTTTTCTATCATAACCAGGACGACATTCCCGTCTTCCACTCTCCTGGGAAAGGGTGATTGATGACAAAGGTCAGGTGTTAACGAGCTGTAAAGCCAGAACAGATGTCAAATTAACAACAGGTCACCTCCCCTCCCCACCACCGGCTTAGTGGTAGAGTGGATAATGGTAATAACTTTAAGCCACACGGGTGAGAATGGTTCCCTAACCGAGAAACAGGTGGGTGGCGGCGTAATTAGAGATTAAGGTGTTTATAAGTGGTTCCAGTGTGCAAGTGGCTGTGCTTTATGAAGTAACACTTCGGGGTAAAGTGTCCTTTTACGCATACTTATGAGTAGTGAGAGCGGTCATGACGTCAAGCATGTGTTGTGGCTGTAGCAGCTCCCTCCTTCCCACCCAGCAGTAGCAGCCCCCCACCCCCACCCGGCAGTAGCAGCCCCCCACCCCCCCCCACCCAGCAGTAGCAGCCCCCCACCCCCACCCAGCAGTAGCAGCCCCCCCCCCTCCCACCCAGCAGTAGCAGCCCCCCACCCCCCCCACCCCACCCCAGCAGTAGCAGCCCCCCAGCAGTAGCAGCCCCCCACCCACCCCCCCCCACCCAGCAGTAGCAGCCCCCCACCCCCACCCAGCAGTAGCAGCCCCCCACCCCCACCCAGCAGTAGCAGCCCCCCCACCCCCACCCAGCAGTAGCAGCCCCCCACCCCCACCCAGCAGTAGCAGCCCCCCCCCCCACCCAGCACCCCCCACCCCCAGCAGTAGCAGCCCCCCACCCCCACCCCAGCAGTAGCAGCCCCCCACCCCCCCACCCAGCAGTAGCAGCCCCCCACCCCCACCCAGCAGTAGCAGCCCCCCACCCCCACCCAGCAGTAGCAGCCCCCCACCCCCACCCAGCAGTAGCAGCCCCCCACCCCCACCCCCCCCACCCAGCAGTAGCAGCCCCCCACCCCCACCCAGCAGTAGCAGCCCCCCACCCCCCACCCAGCACCCCCACCCAGCAGTAGCAGCCCCCCACCCCCACCCAGCAGTAGCAGCCCCCCACCCAGCCCCACCCACCCCCACCCAGCAGTAGCAGCCCCCCACCCCCACCCAGCAGTAGCAGCCCCCCACCCCCCAGCAGTACCCAGCAGTAGCAGCCCCCCACCCCCACCCAGCAGTAGCAGCCCCCCACCCCCACCCAGCAGTAGCAGCCCCCCACCCCCCACCCAGCAGTAGCAGCCCCCCACCCCCACCCAGCAGTAGCAGCCCCCCACCCCAGCCCCCCACCCCACCCAGCAGTAGCACCCAGCAGTAGCAGCCCCCCACCCCCCCCCCCAGCAGCAGTAGCAGCCCCCCACCCCCACCCAGCAGTAGCAGCCCCCCACCCCACCCAGCAGTAGCAGCCCCCCACCCCCCCACCCCCACCCAGCAGTAGCAGCCCCCCACCCCCACCCAGCAGTAGCAGCCCCCCACCCCCACCCGGCAGTAGCAGCCCCCCCACCCCTACCCAGCAGTAGCAGCCCCCCACCCCCACCCAGCAGTAGCAGCCCCCCACCCCCACCCAGCAGTAGCAGCCCCCCACCCCCACCCGGCAGTAGCAGCCCCCCACCCCTACCCAGCAGTAGCAGCCCCCCACCCCCCCACCAGCCCCCAGCAGTAGCAGCCCCCCACCCCCTACCCAGCAGTAGCAGCCCCCCACCCCCCACCCAGCAGTAGCAGCCCCCACCCCCCACCCAGCAGTAGCCGTAAACCCCCTCACAGAAGCACCCGCCACAGGGCCGGGGCGTGAATCAAGGTGTGTATGGCATCATGTTGTGTGACCGGGTGAGGTGTGAGCGGCTCCCCCAACCTTTCGTATACCAGCCTCCTCCTCCCCCCCCCCCCCGTGGTACTGGTCACCCCCAGCCTGCTAAAGTGCTACACATTACCATAATATGGCCAGGTATGGCGGTGGAACAAGCTCACCGTAGGCGGACGTCGGCGTGGCGGCTCCGGCGGCCAGGGGTATCATAAGGGAAACACTTCAGGCAACACACACGGTAATAAGGCGCTTGTGTTGGCGCTGTGTTTCCTGGGACACATTAGGTGGGGGGGGGGGGTAGAAGTAGCCTAAGCTACTCTATCCCTTTGTGATGTATTTCTTTCTTGTCTCAATAAACATACTTTCCTGGGACACACTCGCTCTCTCTCTTGAATTTCTGACTTTTTGGCTCATCTGTATGGCTTTGTCTTTATAATTGCAAAAAAATCGTCTATACGTCTTTTTAGACGTATAGACGCCCATGTTGGCGGGAGACTGTCCATAGGGAGGAAAAAGGGTGCAATTGAGAAGTTATACTAATTACGTATTGGGTGAACAAATTTGTTTTTGAACACTTCTAAACCTGTGGTTTAGACACATGGAGTGTTTGATATTTAAGTGGGGAATGATGTTTGGGTGGTGAATGGGGAGTAGGTGGCAGAGTTGTAAGTGGGGGGCAGAGTTGTAAGTGGGGGGCAGAGTTGTAAGTGGGGGGCAGAGTTGTAAGTGGGGGGGGGGAGTGTGGGATCATTTTGATTTGTCTGCACTATTGGGCATATCTTCTAGTACCGGGTGGGCTCTGTTCTCTCTATAGGTATCTAGGGAGCCTTGTACCCCACCACTGTAGCCCCCAGGACGCACTGTAGCCCCCAGGACGCACTGTAGCCCCCAGGACGCACTGTAGCCTACGCTCCATCAAATATTCCCCTTATCTTCTAGGACCCACTGCATTTCCGATCTAAAGGCTCATCTACCCATTGTAAACGCTCACTCTACCCCAGGACCCAATATACCTACCTCTCTCTCTCTCTCTCTCTCTCTCTCTCTCTCTCTCTCTCTCTCTCTCTCTCTCTCTCTCTCTCTCTCTCTCTCTCTCTCTCTCTCTCTCTCTCTCTCTCTCTCTCTCTTTTGCAAGGTTCTCTGTCCTGAGTCTACCCCCTCTATCCTTACACATACTGGATCTAACTTATAGATATTATGAGTCTATCCCCCCCCCCCTCCCATCTTCATAAACTGAATATAACTCTCACCCCCCCCCCCCGGCGCGCTCCTCTATGGGGTGTGTGTGCCCTCTCCTCCCTCACACCCATGCCCATGCCCACCCATGCCCACCCGTCCCCAAACCTGCCAGCACAACCACCGGTACTCGACCCTCAGACATCTCCTCTGTGATCAATCTAAGCGTGTAATTCCCATTCTCCCTACCTCATATACCTATCTTTTTTATTAGTTCATCGTCGTTATCTCTCGGGTAGGTTTCCCCCCCCCCCCACCGCTCGGGGTTACACCCTTGTTGCCTGGTAAACATTGTACTCGTGGGGGTTCAGGTACGTCAGTGTGTGACGTCAAATATGTGAATATAAATATGAAAGAAAACGGTACATGAGTATGTGTAGCCCCGCTACAGGTAAGTTACGGGCTCACCATAGCCCGTGCTACTTGGAACTTGTTCAGAGTAGCGAATCTTAAACAACATCAACGGTAAATGTGTAAGTAAATTAGTTATTTAGGAGATACATAATTGTGTTAATTGACAACTGAACACAGAGCAGTACTAGGCCCCACATACATTATACATTAAAGAAATGATGCACGAGAGTATTATCATTATTATTTATCAAAACTTGTTACTTATCCTACTAGGCCCCACGATGTTACAGTGGCATTACTCAGGAAGTTATTTATCTACTATGTCGATGGAGCCGGTCGGCCGAGCGGACAGCACGCTGGACTTGTGATCCTGTGATCCCGGGTTCGATCCCAGGCGCCGGCGAGAAACAATGGGCAGAGTTTCACCCTATGCCCCTGTTACCTAGCAGTAAAATAGGTACCTGGGTGTTAGTCAGCTGTCACGGGCTGCTTCCTGGGGGTGGAGGCCTGGTCGAGGACCGGGCCGCGGGGACACTAAAGCCCCGAAATCATCTCAAGATAACCTCAAAATGGATAACTATTATGCAATGTGATGGAATCGAACCCTCTCCCACAAACTACAAAATGGACAATGATGGGCTTCAAAGTATCTCAGCCTGATATACTACCTGTCTGCGGAGTTCAGAGGCGCGGGTTCGATTCCAAGGTACTACCTCAAAACGTATTCCTATACTTATCCCGTTCCTGTGATTGCATTGTGCTCTACGTCAATAGCTGCCGTCGGTGTACTGGAGGACGGCATGAACTCTCAGGTGGACCTGGACACACTTGAGAGATGGTCTGCGAAATGGCTAATCGACTTTAAATCCAAAGAAATGCAACATGATGAGATTTGGTACACAGCTGAAAGAGGCCACATGAACTGTATGAACTAGACCTATTGTCTTATGTATGACCCTCTGTCCTGCGTGACAGTGAATACCACCATTATCCTCACTTTAATAAGGCTTTATAAAAATCCTCAGATTAGGCAAAATTGTAATTAATTTTGTCAATAAAGATGTTAATAATAAATAAAACATGAACTGTACTAGTTCATGTGGTTTATTTAGATGGGAAGAACAATGCTTGAGTAAGAAGAAAAAAAAAGGATTTGGGAGTAGACATAACCCCCATACCGGGGAAACACATATACAGGATACTATCAGCGGCGTTCATAAAGCAGATAGACATTCGTATAGCCTTCAGGATACTGTACAAGGAAGCTTAGACTACGTTTCACTACAACACTAACCCCAGCGGGAATCTTTACACTACTAAACACAGTCTAAAGGTTTGTTATGGGAGTGATCCCTTGACTAAAACGACTGAGTTACGTGGAAAGGCTGAGGGAACTAGACCTCACATCGTTGGAAAGGAGAATGGAAAGTGGAGACATGATTATGGCATGTAAGATCTTTAGAGACAGTGACAATATAGACAAGAGAGAAATTTGAAGTATGAATATGGGGCAAGACGAAGATTCACATCGGAAATGGGGACCTGTTCCGGAACACGTATTACAATTGCTTGAGAACAGGGATCCAAGAGCCAAAGCTGAATCTCTATAAGCACAATTAGGCGCAGCCCGTCCTCATAAACAAAGGACAAAGCCCATTTCATGCTCCCTCCCAACCCTCCTGTTTATGAATGAAAAACGGTTCACACACGACTCACAACTGATGACGTTCGAACAAGTGCTTCGCTGACGACTTTTGTTCGAACCACAACGCTGTAAATGCTTCACCCACGTACTACAAATAAAAGTAATCGCCGACAGAACCTAAAAACCTAACCTAACCAATACCGAAATATGCACAGTATGCTTAATATATATATCAATATTAATTTATATTTGAGAAAATTCCCATTTTGAATGAACAGCATGTTAATATTTATGAATGCGTCTTTGGGGTCGATCGCTGAATGGAATGGACACGGTCTGAGGACAGATTGACTAGGTGAGCTATGCACATAGCCCACAAACCTGGCCTAACCGACCAACAACAATCAAATCCTATGAAATATTCTCATGTTAAGCAGACATTCCTTCCTATACCTCTCAATCACCATAAATTTCCTCTTATTATTTTTTTTGGTCGGCTCCTCCTTCAGTCATAAGATCCAGGTGAACAAGAACAGCTCCTGAGCGGCCGTATATTATAACTACCCAATTCACGGCCTTTCTCTGCAGGAAACCGTCGCGGAGGGTTCCATCATAACCTTTTTCCGGCCGGGTAAGGAGCAAAGATGGCGGCGGCGGCCGGAGAGGTAAACAATGGGCACAAAAGCTGCAGGTTGGACCGGGAGCCTCGGGGGGGGGGGGGGGGGGGGGGACTCATTCAGGAGCGGGACCACCATAACGGAGCCCCAGAGACGCCCTCACTGGCGCCAACACCAGCCACATATGACAGGAATCAAGGAGGAGAAGAACAAGAGGAGGGGAAGAACAAGAGGAGGAGGAGAAAAACAAGAGGAGGAGAAGAACAAGAGGAGGAGGAGAAGAACAAGAGGAGGAGAAGAACAAGAGGAGGAGAAGAACAAGAGGAGGAGGAGAAAAACAAGAGGAGGAGGAGGAGAAAAACAAGAGGAGGAGAAGAACAAGAGGAGGAGGAGAAAAACAAGAGGAGGAGGAGGAGAAGAATAAGAGGAGGAGGAGGAGAAGAACAAGAGGAGGAGGAGGAGAAGAACAAGAGGAGGAGGAGGAGAAGAACAAGAGGAGGAGAAGAACAAGAGGAGGAGAAAAACAAGAGGAGGAGGAGAAAAACAAGAGGAGGAGGAGGAGAAAAACAAGAGGAGGAGGAGGAGAAAAACAAGAGGAGGAGGAGGAGAAAAACAAGAGGAGGAGGAGGAGAAGAATAAGAGGAGGAGGAGGAGAAAAACAAGAGGAGGAGGAGGAGAAGAACAAGAGGAGGAGAAGAACAAGAGGAGGAGAAAAACAAGAGGAGGAGGAGAAAAACAAGAGGAGGAGGAGGAGGAGAAAAAAACAAGAGGAGGAGGAGGAGAAGAACAAGAGGAGGAGGAGGAGGAGAAAAACAAGAGGAGGAGGAGGAGAAAAACAAGAGGAGGAGGAGAAGAAAAACAAGAGGAGGAGGAGGAGAAAAACAAGAGGAGGAGGAGGAGGAGAAAAACAAGAGGAGGAGGAGGAGAAAAACAAGAAGAGGAGGAGGAGAAAAACAAGAGGAGGAGGAGGAGGAAAACAAGAGGAGGAGGAGGAGAAAAACAAGAGGAGGAGGAGGAGGAAAAAAACAAGAGGAGGAGGAGGAGAAGAACAAGAGGAGGAGGAGGAGAAGAACAAGAGGAGGAGGAGGAGAAGAACAAGAGGAGGAGGAGGAGGGTGTTTTTATTCCGCTGACATAGAAAGTTGAGCTTCCCTTACCTTACCTTTCTGTTTACCTTTTGCTGTTTCCGAGGATCGACGTCCCTCGGGCCCGGTCTCCTGGTTGGTGGTCTGGTCAACCAGGCTGTTTGAAACAGCTGCTTGCAGCATCCCTTATGACTCAGCCTCCTTGCAGGTGTTTATCAAGTTCTCTTTTCAACACTGAGGTCGGCCAGTTATGTCACTTTGGGGCGCCTGACAGCTGAGTGGTCAGCGCTTCGGATTCGTAGTCCTGTGGTTCCGGGTTCGATTCCCGGTGGAGGCGGAGACAAATGATAAAAAAAGTTTCTTTCAGCCTGATGCCCTTGTTACCTAGTGTTACCTAGCAGTAAATAGGTACCTGGGAGTTAGACAGCTGCTACGGGCTGCTTCCTGGGGAGGGGGGATAACAAAAAGGAGGCCTGGTCGAGGACCGGGCCGCGGGGACGCTAAGCCCCGAAATCATCTCAAGATAACCTCAAGATTGCTGCTGATGCTTCTACTGTTGGCTGTGTTGTTGCTGATGATAAACATTTTACCCTTATCTACTCTATCTTAGAGTATGCCGCGCCATCATGGAGCCCCCACCTGAAGAAACACATAAAGAAACTGGAGAAGGTTCAGAGGTTTGCGACGAGGCTTGTCCCAGAGTTACGAGGGATGGGATATGAAGAGCGTCTGCAGGAACTGAACCTTACGACACTAGAGAAAAGAAGGGAGAGAGGAGATATGATAGGGACATATAAAATACTCAGGGGAATTGACAAAGTGGAAATAGATGAAATGTTCACACGTGGGAGCCGGTCGGCCGAGCGGACAGCACGCTGGACTTGTGATCCTGTGGTCCTGGGTTCGATCCCAGGCGCCGGCAAGAAACAATGGGCAGAGTTTCTTTCACCCTATGCCCCTGTTACCTAGTAGTAAAATAGGTACCTGGGTGTTAGTCAGCTGTCACGGGCTGCTTCCTGGGGGTGGAGGCCTGGTCGAGGACCGGGCCGCGGGAACACTAAAAAGCCCCGAAATCATCACAAGATAACCTCAAGATACGTAATAATAACAGAACGAGGGGACATGGGTGGAAACTGGAAACTCAGATGAGTCACAGAGATGTTAGGAAGTTTTCTTTTAGCGTGAGAGTAGTGGAAAAATGGAATGCACTTGGGGAACAAGTTGTGGAAGCAAATACTATTCATACTTTTAAAACTAGGTATGATAGGGAAATGGGATAGGAGTCATTGCTGTAAACAACCGATAGCTGGAAAGGCGGGATCCAAGAGTCAATGCTCGATCCTGCAAGCACAAATAGGTGAGTACACAATACACTCAAGTATCCCCCCCCCCAACTCACCCCACATCATAAACCCCCTCCCTATCCACTCCATACCTCCCCCTCACCACCCACTCATCTCTCCACTCCTCACACACAAAAGACCAAAAGGCCGACGGCCAGTCAGGGACCAAACTAGGCCCATATAAACAGGTCTTGCGACACAAACAAGGAACAAACAGCCCCCCCCCCCAGTTACCGTACCCAGTACCAGGCGACCAAAATACCCCCAGGTACCACGTGGCCCGCCCAGCTCGAGGTACCAGGGATTTGTGGGATTAAGGAAGACGATTTTAAGATAAGCCTGGGATTGAGTAATGCTGATGGAGATATCCTCTTAAATGAAGTCTGGAAGGAGGGAGTGGGAAGGGCAAGGGAGAGTAGTGGAAGGGCAGGGGGAAGGGAGGAGGGGTATTATGGGGGAGGGAGGAGTGATATAATAGGGAGGGAGGAGTGGGCAATTAGACGTGTCCTCCCTTCTCATTAAACTACTCCTTCCTCCTAATTATACCTCAATTCCCTCCCAGGTCCGTCTAACTACCCAAAGCTCCCTAAAGCCTACTCGCATTACGTAAGTAATGAAGACATGTGACATATTTACTCGCTATAATCTTGGTGCTGAATATAGAACATGAAAAGCCACATTTTTTGTCTGAAATAATATAATTTTATAGCGAAAATTGCGTCCACTAATGACCCAAAGCCTCAACATTGTCGCTTGGATCGTCGACTTTCTATGGCGTCACCTGCTACTTAGTTTCGTCTAATTTCGTTATAAAATGGTATTATTTCAGAGTAAAAATATGTTTTTTTCATGTTCCACATTCAGCACAATATTATAGTGAGTAAATTTATCAATATTTCTTCACTACTTACGTAATGATAGAAAGGGCAGATGGTGGCCTCCCGACACTAACTGCTCAGGTGCCACTTAACCACCTAGTTTTTCCTTGTTGTGAGCTCACGTTTTCTATTATTGGGTTCTCGGTTAGGTTCGGTTCCGCCAATTTAGTACAGCATTTTTATGATGTTGCGACAGTTCGAGAAGACAGGCTGACTATAGACAGTTGGGTGGTTCGCTCTCATATTAATACTGTTTCTCTCCACCTCGACGACCTCAACCCCTTAACCCCTTAACCTTTGCGCGTGTTTTTCCCGTTATTCCTATACATGTTTCTCAAGTATAGGAGATATAAGTATATAGTAGCCTTTCACGAGGGGCAGTTTTAAATGCATTTAAGCTGTATAGAACTATATTTTCGTGACCTTGTTATAGAACTCCGTACTAGGTTATACGACACTTGTTATAGATAGTGTGATAAAACAGGTGAAAGAATAGTTAGAGGTAACAAATAAGAACACTAAGAGAGGATAAAAAAAGATATTTAAAATAATAATAATAATAATACTGAGAAAATCAGTAGAAGCCTTAAGGAGGATTCGAACCCCCGCACACTTGGTACTCCCAAGCCCACGCCTATACCCCACTACACCACCACATAGGTAAAAGCAGTCCAACCTGGGATTCCACTGAATCCTCTAGGGGGAGTCCCGAGGCTTCCACTGAAGCCCAAACAGGGTTTCACGCATTGCTCCCCCATGCACAAGTCAATTTGAATCCTCATGACAGAGACCGGACCGCAGGAACGTTGATCCCCGAAACCAACGCAAGGTATGGCTGATATTCTCATTGATACTTTAAGTAAATGTTGTTTTATTGTCCAGTAGTAGTAATAATAATAATAATAATAATAATAATAATAATAATAATAATAATAATAATAATAATAATAATAATAATAATAATAATAATAAAGAGTAATATTAGAAGAATGATAATTACTAATGTTCAGGAAGCTGTTCCTTCAACAGTATCCTTCTCTTTCCCTCCCTCCCTCCCCTTCCCTCATTCTTACCCCTCCCTTATCCCTCATCATCTGCCTTTCCCACTCTCTCTCTCTACCTCCCTATCCCCCCCCCCCATTTTCAATCCTTCTGCTCCTCCCTCACCTCCTATTCCCCCTCCCCCCTGTTCTCTCCTCCATCTCTCTCACTGAGAGAATAATCTCATATGGGGGAAGGGAGGGAGGGAGGGAGAGAGTGAGAGTGTGGGAGGCTTATCAGGAGTGCTGTAGTGAGGTGAGGTGAGAGAGATTGAGAGAGGGAGCCTTGAGGAGCCGTGAGGAACAATGCAGGTGAATGAGGAGGGTGAACAATGCCAGTAGGGGAGCACAATGCATCAGGTGACGAGATGGAAGTGTGTAATGTACGCTCTTTGTACCGTCGTTTCAGCACCGGGTCTAGTGCCCAAGTGTTTACGAAGCTACAACGTATGATTCTCGCCTCCCTAAATTTTATATATATTTTTATCGGGTATTCCTGAGCGGGCCTTAAGCCGCGGAAGGAAGGAAACTATCAAGGGAAAAGCGGCAAATCATTACAACTATATAGTACTGGGAAGGGGGTTAGGCTAAGGATTTGGGATGGGACGGGGGGAAGGAATGGTACTCAACTACTTGGACGGTCGGGGATTGAACGCCGACCTGCAAGAAGCGAGACCGTCGCTCTACCGTCCGACCCAAAGGCGGGCTGACCCGTTAGTCTGATAATGTCAACATTGATTATTGGTTTAATATTATTGTTAATGAAGTGAAATTATGATGCCAGTGCTGGGATTATTATTATTATTATGGTGATAATCTGTTAATTATCAATGTGGTTTTTTTCATGAAAACTATATTGTGTTTGTCATAATGATGTTGTCAAGTACTGAAGCTCAGTTAATGGTAATATTAAGCAGCGTAGGATTAAGGGAGCCGGTCGGCCGAGCGGACAGCACGCTGGGCTTGTGATCCTGTGGTCCTGGGTTCGATCCCAGACGCCGGCGAGAAACAATGGGCAGAATTTCTTTCACCCTATGCCCCTGTTACCTAGTAGTAAAATAGGTACCTGGGTGTTAGTCAGCTGTCACGGGTTGCTTCCTGGGGGTGGAGGCCTGGTCGAGGACCGGGCCGTGGGACACTAAAAGCCCCGAAATCATCTCAAGATAGGACTCATCCGGTGAGTTGATGGAACTCTTAGTTCCCTGTTAACTGTTCTTGCGGCTCCACCTAACGCTCTTTTGATGATTCCGAGGATCAACGTACTCGCGGCCCGGTCTCTAATCAGGCCGTTCCGCCTCATGGGTGGTCTGGTCAACCAGGCTGTTGGACGCGGCAGTCCGCAGCCTGGCGTATGAGTCACAGCCCCGTTGATCTGGTATACTTTATAGGTGTTTGTGAAGTTCTCTTTTGAACAGTGAAGAGGCCGGCCAGTTATGCCCCCTGTGTGTAGCGGCAGTGTATTGAACAGTGTTGCACCTTTGATGTTGATAAGAGTAGTCTTATCAGCGTACCTATTGTATCCTTGCCCTAGTTCAAGCCAGGATGACGCCCCCTGGCCTCGTCTTGTACTAGATCTTGCCTCTTTAATTGTTTATAAGAAGCATAAACAAGATGCAAAACATCGTAGTGATATTAACTAGAAAGATTTATAAGAAATGGAGTCAATTACCTTATCACACGCAGGCGATGAGACACAATAACGTGGCTTGAAGATATGAGAACTAAATCTTCCTGCCCGAAACGCTTTGCGTAATAGTGGCTTTAGGCATTGTATGTACTAGCTCCATCTATAAATCGATCAATTTATGTAAAATCTCTTGTATGTATGTACCTTACCTGAATAAACCTTTTATTATTTTATTTTATAACCACACGCCAGAAGATGAGGAGACGGCGACGTTTCGACTTGGTAATGGTCCAGG